CCCTCAACACCGGCCCCAGTGCTGGGCCTCTGGTCACTTGCACCATTGGCCCCAGCCCCAAGTTGCCAGCCGCTCCCACCGTCGGCCCCAGCACCTGGCCGCTGGCCTCTGTCCAGAGCTAAACTCTGGCTTGGGGGAGAGGGCGGAGCATGGGTGGGTCCAGGCCTTGGCTTAAGGGAGGTTTAGCCTCCCCATGCCTATTATATCTGCCGCCCATGCTCGAGAGGTCTTCTAGTCCAGTCTCCCACACTCAAGTCAGGACTAAGTATTAGCTAGACCATCCCTGACAGATGTTTGTCAAACCTGCTCTTAAAAATCTCCAATGTTGGAGATTCCACAACCTCCCTAGGCAATTTATTCCAGTGCTTTACCACCATGACAGTTAGGAAGTTTTTCCAGACAGCCTGTACTGCATGTAAACAAAGATAAGAGGTCACTTCTGTGAGTAGTGAGTGGAATAAAGAATGGGGAAGTGGTGGGATTTCAGTCAGGGCTGACTCCCTGCCTGGCAATGAGGCTAGAAGCTCCGGCCCTTTTTTCTAGAGAATTTCAGCCCTGCCTGGGGGGGCCCCTCCGCTGATGGGCTGCTTTCCTGCTCAGTGCCCAGCTTCTGGGTTAGAGCAGCCAATCAGAGCTGCTGGAGGAAGCAAGCTGAGCTGACACCATACTCACAGGAGGGGAGGGGGAAGGAGGGAGCAGAAAGTCCAGCAACTCAGGGCAGCTCCACTCCCACTTCCCCTTCTGTGGCCTGGGAAGGGGGGATGAAGAGCCCCTGGAGCTGTCCCCCCCATCCTGGAAGTGGGAGAGAGGACCCCACTGCAGCTTCCCAAGGCCTGGGAAGGGGATGAAGAACCCCAGGAGGAGCAGAAGGGAGGTTGTGAGAGCAAGGGACAGAACTGATGTTGGGGTATAATTGATCTGAGGCCTGGGGGGCTGAGCAGATGTGAGGGTGAGAGCTCCTGCAAATCACCTCACCCAATAAATATGGGAGGGTGGGCAGCACTGATTGTCATGCACACACTGGGGATGAGTAGGGAGAGCTCAACAATCTAAAGACAGGCCAAAAACCACAGTGTAATGTTTTTTAATCTCATGATTTTGTGGGGCCTGACTCATGATTTTTTAACCTTTGGGGTTGGCACTACTGTGTGCGTTCTGCTGAATTGGAAATGATGATTCTCTGCTTTTTGTGTCACCCTTCTAAGAAGGCAGCCTGATGAGCCAGAAGCCCACCAGCTCCAACACGCCTCCCCATGAAGTTTAGCAGGGAGTGATGTGGGTGAAGGCTATTGCAGCTCCCTAATCCATCACCCCCCAGCTCTGCCAGGGCATTTCAGAAGAGTACTTCAAACAGAGGACTCTGAGTCAGGAAATCTGCGTTTTACCTTTGGCTCTGTCACTGACTTGCTGGGTGATCTTAGGAAAGTTACTTAACTTCTGTCTCTGAAATCTGAATGTCCCCCCTCAATAAAATGGGGATGGTTAACATTTATTGAATCTACAGCTCACAGGAATGTTGTAACAATTAACGTCTTTGAGCTCTTTGGATGGAAGGAGCAATGATAAGTATTATAATGAATTGGCTAGTGTACACATTGTACCAATGCAACCCATTGGGTTTGATCTGCTCAACTCAATGGCATAGGAGCAGTGAGGTTATTTGGCCTTTCCACACTCCTTGAGTACCATCATTTTGCTCTTTCAAGTCTTACTCTTTTCATAAGTGACTCTTTATGGGATCCTGGTCTTTGGCTAGTGCATAGAAAACTGGGGGGCAGAACTTTTGATTTTCTTCTATTCCCTATTCTGCTATCAAATCATGTGATATTGAGAAAGCCATTGCATCTCTGTGCCTCAGTTTCCCACTCTGTACAAGGAGAATAAATAATCAGACTGCTGAGTAGCTGCCTCACAAGGTGGCTGTGAGTCTTAATTAAGATTTTTCAACTTCCTTCAGAACTTCAGCTAGATGGTGCTAGAGACAGACAATATATCACTCCAACCTGCAAATTAAGACAATTTTTTCAGAAATTAATATTTCTTCCCACTGTTTCAGGATGATCGGCATCAGCCCCCAAACCGATCGTTGCCCATTATCAAAAGGCCATTAAGACAATTTACTGACGCAGGCTTAGATCTAAATCCCCAGCTCCCATAAAATCAGAATGTCACAGATCCAGGCAGTTTTGCTGAGGGTATAAAGAACCACAGAACTCTATTCAAAAGAGGGAAGAGTAATTCATCCTGCATGAATGCTGCCCTCCTAGGAAGAGTGACCTGAACAACATCCTCCCAGATACGTTAAGCATCTGCAAACAAATGGTGCCAAATCCTGTACTGGGCATATTAAGAAGGTCACTGCTGCTTTGGGAGCCTGCATAACAGCACCACACCAGTGGCTGGGGCTGGAGACATTAGGTCCAGTTCACCATTGTCCTGCTGTAATGCATTGTCACGTACACCTGTGCAAAATGAGTGCTGCCAAGTGAGAATGGCAATGTCTTTGCACTGAGGGGCAGGCAGGCCAAGGCGGCATCAGGCTGTGTGTGTCTGGAGAGCAGAGGCGAGCACACTAGCGCCCAGCTCTCTGTGCAGGCAGAGGGAGCAGATTGCTGTGGGTGGCCGGGTGGAGGCAGAGGAGCATTTCCCCCGTTTCCCTGCAGAGCCCTGCCAGCCTAGGGGTCAGCAGAGAGCCAGAAAGGCTCCAGCAATTGCACAACACCTCCTCCCACTCCTTCCCCAAACAAGCAATGGCTGCGAGCCTGAGACTATGGAGGCTGAAGCCCTCCCGGATCCTCCGCGGCCGCGTTGCCTCTGGGTTCAGCAGCGGCGCCACCGCTGGATCGGGGCAGCAGCCACAGCTGGAGAAACTCACCAGCACGCGGCAGCTGGATGGCATCAGGTGAGGCTACGCTGCGCCCGTGTGAGCGGCTGAGCAAAAGGTCACACAGAACCGACCAGCGCTGGGACTCAGAGTAGTCCCCACTCTCCCCAGTGCCCCGATGGGACGTGCCTGTTGTGGGATTTTGTATGTGACCCAGACCCCAAAACGAGGTGTGTGTAACGCACTAGACCCCACCCCCAACTCGCCCATAATAGCAAAGGGGGTTGAAATGCTGGTGGATTTCCCTGACACGCAGACAGAATTTTCTATGCAGTTAATCTTCATAACTCTGGGTTTCTGATGTCAGTGATTTAATGGGGCAATGTCAGCTTTTGTGGGGGACCTGCATAGATTGGCAATGAGTGAGTGTAACTGAAAGGTGGATGGGGTACAGTTCAAGGCCAGTATGGCAATCAAAATCCAGGGGGATCATTTTTAAAAAGTCCTTTAAAGAATAAGGACATAAAATCGTTTACAGGAGCAGGGACAGGGCCTTCCCATGTGTCTATTACTCTGTTCAGTCCCTAGCTCAGTGGGTGTGGCTTAATAATTTTGACAGCACATTTGCACTTCTAAATTTTCCTTGTGGTATATAAAATCCTTGTAGTATATAAAACTGCCCATGGTGAGAATGGTGCTGTCTGACCTATGAAGAGCCGGGAGCCTCTCTGCCACAGAGATTTACCAATCTAAATCAGTGTTTCTCAAATGAGGCCACCAGGGCCTTTTCTTGAGGCCACAACCTCCTGCGCTGTGATGCAGGGGGGAAGTGGCAAAGTAGTGGCCCCTCCCTGGTGCTTTTGGATGCACCTTTGTGTTGGTTGCTGGATCTTCCAGCAGGGGTTGGGCCCTGCCCCCCTCCAGAGATACCTGGAGGAGCAGCTGGTGAGTTCCTCACCTTCCCAGGTGTGGTGGGGCTCAGGCTTTGGGCTTCAGCCCTGGTGTGTTGGGGTGGCAGGCTCTGGCCACGGGGCTTGATGCTCCAGCCCCCTGCTGCCTCCCCTGGCCACCCACCCACCCACCTACCAGCCCCATCGCCCCAACCCCAGCTGCCTCCCCCAACCCCCATCCAGGGTTTAATTTTTCCCAGGCTTGCCAGGGCTGAGTAAGTCTGCTGTGAAAAGTGATACTTGTATGTTTGTTAATATCACTTTTCACAACAGACTTACGAACTAGCACTAAATATATTACAATAATTTGGACATGTGTATATGCATATTTATTTGTTTTTCCTAAAGCTGACCAAATATTATAGGAAAAAATATGAGAGCGGCCATCAGCAAGAGTTGGTGGCCGCACTCTGAGGCCACCAAAAAATTTGTCCTGAGAACCCCTAGGCTAGATCCTGCAGTTGCTTCTGTATAGATGAACCCCTGTGCCTGCTTGGAGCCACATTGCCCAAGGCTCCCACGCTCATTCCCATCAAATGTAGTCCTGTTGACCTAAATGGGATTATTCACAGTCACAAGTGTTATGCCTGGTCTTAAGTGTGTGCTGGATTGGGCCCTAAACAGCCACAGTGAGTTATAGGACATAACTGTGCCTTCTTAGTCCCACAAAGTGTGTGGCTTGGAATTTTTAAATTAAATTTTGTATTTATTTTGGGGGGGAGGGGCTCCTGCCTTCACTTTATGAAATTGTCATGCTCTTACCCTTTGCCACCATGGGAGAGAAGCGATAATAGAACAAACATGACTTCTGTCTGTTCCCAAGCGGTGGCCTCCCGAGGATCTAATGATGAACACATCTGGTATGTATAAGTAAGCTGTGTAGCCAGTCCATATCTGATACAGAGGAACACAGCAGCCTCCATCAGGGAACAAAGTTATCAAGAAATGCTTCCTGGTAGCAAGTTTAAAACCAGATTCAGCTGTAAATTCTTCAGTACAGGGACAGTCTTTTTGTTACATGATTGTACAGTGCCTAGCACAATGGGGTCTTGAGAACTGACGAGGTCTCTTGCCTCTACTGCAATACACATAAATTATATTAAATAAAATAACAAATTTCAAGTGCCCGTCCTTATTTGGACCAAAGCTTTGATTCCAGAAACAGTCGCAGAGGTTCTATTTTGTTTGACTGGATCATGACCAGTTTGTTACTAAAATCTTTACAGACACATTATGTTGAATAACCCGAAGAAAAGAAATGCTCTGTCACTCTCTATGCTGAAGTGTCTCCGCGATGATATTCTGCATGATATCAAAAGCAAGGCTCTCAGAGTCATCATCATTTCAGGTATTTCCTTGATCTCAGAGGGGAAAAAAAGGTTGGAAAAAAAGATGGGTCAACTGCCATGTTCTACAATGCCATATACATAGTGGTGGTTTGGACGGTGTTAGAGATGGGCAAATAATGGATGTTTTGGTTCGCTGGAAGTTCCAAATTTGCAGAGTCAGGGCCATTGTTTACCCAGCTGTAAAATTGGAATAATAATAGTTACCCAAACTCTGTTAAGTGTTTTAGATGAATGTTGTTACAGATCTGAGGATCCTGCAAAGACTTACATATATGTAGGGTGTCTATTTTTCAGGGCTTATTAATTTCATTTTTAGGGGGCTATTTTTAGCTATTTTTAAACGTTAGGTAGCTGTAGATGGAACAGCCTTCCAGGGGAGCAGTGTGGGCAAAAAATCTAACTTGTTTCAAGACTGAGCTTGATAAGTTTATGAAGGGCCTGGTATGATGAGGGTAGATGGCCCATATCTCCAACGGCTGGTGATGGGACACTAGTTGGGGAGGGCTTTGAGTTACTACAGAGAATTCTTTCCCGGGTTTTTGACTAGTGGGTCTCACCCACGTGCTGAGGGTCTAACTGATCACCACATTTGGAGTCAGAAGGAATTTTTTCTCCAGGACAGATTGGCAGAGACCCCAGGGGGTTTTCACCTTCCTCTGCAGTGTGGGTCACAGGTCACGTACTGGTTTGAACAAGAGTAAATGGTGGATTCTCTGAAGTGAACTGTAGCTCACGAAAGCTTATGCTCAAATAAATTGGTTAGTCTCTAAGGTGCCACAAGTACTCCTTTTCTTTTTGATGGATTCTCTGTAACTTGTAGTTCTCAAATCTTGATTTGAAGACTTCAGTAACTCACCCAGAGGTTATTGGCTTATTACAGGAACAGGTGGGTGATATTCTGTGGCCTGGAGGTCAGACTACATGATCATGATGGTCCCTTCTGGCCTTAAAATCAATGAGTCCAAAAATCAGGGATGTTGGAGCTTTCTCTTTGTATACACTGTAATGAGCAATCTCTTCATAATGTTTCCTGGTGTACATCAACCTAGCACTGTTTCAAACAACACTATGCTAAAGCACACTAGGGAACCTTTCATGCCCACCAGCAGGGTCTGCACAGACCAGTTAATGCACAACTCATTAGTGTGCTTTAGAAATCACCCTCTCATACTCTGCATTACTGCTCTGTGCAGATGAGCCCTTAGATACAAGTAACCATTTCCAGAGTTTATTTGATAAACACTGGTTTTTTAAATTTTATTTATATCGTGTTTTATTGGTCAAGACCTAAAATCCGAAGTCCCACATATATGCTTAATTTTACACACTGTGAACAATACCTTCAGTGTGACCTGAGAGAGTACTACCCACGCTGTGTGAAGCTAAGCATATGCATAAGTCCATGCAGGGTCTGACCCTACTTTATAAGTGCAATAATAAGTACTGATGATAGTAATAACTAAACTTTTCTTCATTCAGTGAAAATACAAATCTACACAAGTGACAAACACTGCAGGAACCCTCTTGTGAGCTGCAGCGTTTTGGACCGTTACTGCAGTATATTTTTAAGGGTTCATAAGTTCAATTGTTACTTTTCTTTTCTTTTCAAAATCAATTTTATATATAGGGATTTTTTTTAACAGAATAAAACCTAGGTTACAATGACCATCGAGTTAAAGAAAATTCCTTTTTTTGTTTTAAGGGTTTACTGTTAAGAGGTGTTGAGCTCCCACAACTCCCATTGATTTCAGCGGCAATTCCACAGGCTCATGTGCTTAATGTTGAAGTTGTGATCAATGTCACAACATGTTGTGCAGAAGTTCAGTGGGTAGGACACAATATTGGGACTCAGGAGATGTGGATTCAATTCCCAGCTCTATTACTAGCTGCCTTTGTACTCTTCTGCAAGTCTCCAAACTTCACCGTCCCTCAGTTTCCCTATTTGTAAAAGGAAAGATGACAAGCATTGTAAAGATCAAAAGGTGACCAGCATTATAGAAGAGCCAAGTGTTATTATGTCCCTTCTTCCTTCTAGATACTCAGATAACCCCTATCACTATAGGTAACGTTGATGGGCATGGTATAAGAACTTGAATAAAACAGTAATATCTGAGAACTTCCAGAGTATATAAAATAGAAAAAACAATAAACAATCTTTTTTCTTTCCTGGCCTGTAGGAGAAATAGCTTGTTTCGTTTATAATTCTTTTTAATTTTGTGTGAATGAGAGTGAGAGTTGGATTATTTGTATATCTCTGTGGGTGAAGGGTTTATTGAGGGAAAGGTAGGTCAGAGAAATTAGTTTTCAGTTAGCTTTGAAAGTCCATGGTACTTTTTATCGCTTGCTGTAATGCTTTTCATCGTCTAGGTGCAGCCCCTATGAAAATTCTGGCTCCTGTGCACTCATGAGTTCCCCTGGGATGCTCCACAGAACAGAGGGTGAAACAAATGGGAAAAGTGACCATTTTTTTGAAATTTTGTACTAATTTTTCAAAAGTAAAAAAAAGTAAAAATTTTGTGAAATATTCAACATTTTTACTTTGGGGTTTTTTTTGTTTTGTTTTGTTTTGCTTTTTTTTAAATGAGAACTTTCAACCAGCTCTACTCCAGTTTCATTGTTCTAGTGGAATGCAGCTGATAAGGAGGAGGAAGTGATCTCGGGCAAGTTAAGGCCAAATCCTATGGGATGATTTTTCATGACCAAGCAGTAGAGTGGCACATGGGCTACTGTGTTTTGTATAAATTGGAGCTTTTTAAGGGCGTGCGTGCGGCTTTTTCCCCCAGACATAATTAGTTACAACAATCTGGCACAGAGGAAACTATTGCATGGCCAGGGCTGTGTCTTGTCTGCTGGGATGGAACACAGTCTTTGCAGTTGGACATGGGTGTTTTTTGGTGCCTGGCTACATAAGTATCCATTAGCAATAAGGAGCTCTAAAGAACCCCAAAACTGCCAACTAACTTATCCTTAGGGCAAATGCCCTTGATAGAGAGGATACTTCCTTCTTCCTACCACTATTACTTTGCTGTGGCCTGGATTCAGCATTCATCTAGGTTCAGATTTCTAGTAGGCATTGAGAGAGCTGGGGGATGGTACTGTTTGTGTTTGACATAAAGCAGACGTATAGCTGGGTGTATTCTGCATACTGCTGGCAATTCAGTCTGTGCTGTCACACCAGCCTTCCCGACAGCATCATATGGTTAAAGGATCAGGGGTAGAGAAGGGACAGAAGAGAGAGAGGACTTAGCCGTGTAGGATTCCACAGATGAGAGCTTTGGAGGTGGAGCAACCATTGCCCACAACAACCATCAGAGAGGAAAGACAGTTCTTGTCTGTTGCCCTCCTGAACAACCTGGCACCAAAATCCTGATCTTTATTTAGCGTGGGTGAAATATTAACCAGAGGCTGCTGAGTCCTGTATAAACAGGAGAGAACTGTGTCAATCAGCCGAAGAACAGAGCAACTCCCCACCATACTGGGTAGAAGCTGTTGTTTAAGTTGCACTGAATAACTATTTTATTGTGTTTTCTGAGAAGCTAGGCTGAGCCCCATAAAACCCCATCACTTCCTATTGACTGAGGTAGGAAACTCTGCTAAATACAGGGGATCAAATACTCCTCCCCCCTCTCACCCCCGGAAAAGCCAACAGGATGAAGGAAAGAATTTCAAAAATTATTTGGGTGTGACCTCACTTTATTTTTGAGGGGCTAGCAGCCCCCTGACTCCACAGAGCTTGAGGATCCTTGGAGATATATGGTACTATCCTCGCAGGTCACAGGGCATTCACGCAGAGAGCCAGCCCCGCTATGCTTTTCCTTTGCCTCCCGCCCTGCCCAGCCCCCCTCATTTGGTATACCACCTTCTCTCTGAGCTGAGGAGAGGGTGTCACTACTGCAAGGAGCAGCACTAACTCCCCTCTGGATTTCTCCTAGGAGACCTGAGTTGCTAGGGAGCATTTCACACAGCAGTAAGATTAATGAGGTGAACATGTGGCCTGTTGTGATTTGTCACGATGCAGGTACCTCCTGCCTTGAGCCAATCCATAGTTTCAGTAGCAGTTTAAGAGATCCCTTTTATGGCTTGTATATCAATTTAAGATTATAAGGTGCCTTAGATGACTTTGGGATGAAATATATTTGAGCTACGTGCATTCTTATGTGTAAATTCTTATTATGTCTGCCATTTTGTGCCTCTCCTAGATAACTAGTTGTCATGTCTTGCACTAAGTTACACAAGAGGTGTTCAGTAGCAAGTGATGTGAGATCACTGGTTGCATTTCACTGGGTACCTACAATGGAAGGCAAAGTAGAAGCTGAAAATGAAAGCTCAAGGGTTTCCTTCTACAGATGTGTCCTTACAATGCCTATTAGAGTCACTGGGGTTTATGTGACTAAATGCTGTACAGCAGTCTGTATCTTGATCTACAGCAGCTGAAATCTTGATCTAAAAAACAGAAGCCAACATTTTGTGATGTTTTTGCAAAGTACCCTCCTCCCCTATTTTGGGGTATCTCTACTTCTGCCATGTAGGACTTACTACATTCTGAATTGTCACCAGCCCAAGATGCTAGATTCATTCAGATCAGCAACATTAAAAGTTTTTTTCTTCATTTTATTGAATGCTTTGCAGCGGAAGGACCTGTATTTTCAGCTGGCCATGATTTAAAAGAATTGTCTAGTGAATGGGACATGAAGCACCATATCGAAGTATTTGATACCTGTGCTGAGGTAAGCCAGGGTACTGGTTTTGCATTAATGCCAATAATGCATTTCAGTGAATCCACTATTAAAGTGCAGAGCTGAATGGGACAATGAAACAAGTTTAAGAAGGGAAAGAATGTGGTGGTCCTGTGGTTAGAGCAGAGCTTGGCCCTCTGGACTCCTGACTCCAGTTCTTGACTCTGCCACTGATTTACTGTCTGATCTTGGACACGTTATTTTCTCTCATCATTTCTCCATATGCAAACAGAAGTGTAAGGATTATGCATGATTAAAGGCTTGTATCTGCAATATGCAAATGCTCGAAACTAGGTATAATTGTTGCATGTTCCTTTAAACCTTTTTAATATTTGATCCATGTAGCATCACTGCATGAGTCTTGCAGTCTGCACAAATATGGATCAATTCGTTATGTTTCATAGGCATAATACTCCTAACCTACCTTGCATCAATTAGGAGCCGTTGTCCTATTCCAAAACCTAGTTGGTCAACTGGAACCAATAGGGACACATGGTTAATTTACTGATATTTGTTAAAAGCTCTGAGAACCTCATGAGAAAGTTGCTATGTAAGTGCCAGGTACCATTAGACATATTGATGACACCCATGGATTTGCCTGTTTTCTTTATTTTAATATTAGTTTTATAGTATTAGTAAGATAAATGTTTAATTCAAAGTCGATTTTTTGCTCTTTTCAGTTGAAGACAGGGGTGGCTTTAGGGTGGGTTCATGGGTTGAGTTGCACCCACAGAAATCATTAAACCAAGGGTGTAAAACCAGGAAAACATGATGGAGAGGCAGCCAGGCCAAACCTGAGTGGCACTGTGATCCTGTGTGCAAGATTGCAACACCCAGAGTGGGAAGCCAGCCCAGGGCCGCAAGATAGGAGCTGCTGCTTCAGGGTGAGTGAGGGGATAGGCTCGTTCTCCAGCCCCTGCCTCTCAGAGCCTCCCCTCAGCACCAAGCTGGGATTAAAGTTGAAGTGCTAGGAACAAGGGGGCTGCTGCGGGTGGACAGTGCCCCCTCAGCAGTTTAATATAGTACACCCATTGAATCAGGGCTAGTTACATCTACCCCTGGTTGAAGATAGTCATGTGTTATTCACACAGGCTTATGCCTAACCCCATCTGAGCAATGTCCTGCCATGCTGACCACAGGCAATTGAGCAAAAAGCTGAAGAAACAAAACCTTTTCTACTGTCATATAGAGTGGAATCAAGAGTTTGCAAGTTTCTCTACTTTAACACTTTAAAAGAAAATTAGACTGTCCTGTAGGTATAATTAATACCGTGAATGTGTGCAGGATTTCAGTTATTGGCACTTCCCGCTGTAATCAGCGGGCAGATTGGAATAGAATAGCTCAGATATTTCATTCTTTGGGGTTCCTGATGTAGCAAACTAGGCTTTGAGTTAATAAAGAAAAATATAGGAGGATTAGCAGACTATTTGTAGTGTAAAAAGTTAAGTCAGTGTATAAGTCTTATACAGGATCAGGGCCTTAGCATATGACAAGTGTAATAATTTAGCCATGAGTATAAGGAACAAATAATGCACCATACTTCAAATAAATATTTCTGGAACCATGAAAATGATAAAGAAAGTTCAAGAGGAAATGAAATGCCAGGGACTAAACTAAATATATGATTTTTTTTCTAACAGGAATATCTTGCACTTCTATAGCCCCTTCTATCTGAGAATCTTAAAGAGATTTAAAAGCACTAATCAAACCTCACTTTACCCCTATGTGGCAGGGAAGTCTGACTGGTAAATAACCACATCTTACATGTGGAGAAACTAAGGAAGTTAAGTGACATACTCTATTCACTAGACCACACTGCATTGGGTGTTGGACTAGGGGCTCAGGAAACACTGCTTTTAGTCCTGGCTCTGCCAGTGGCCTGCTGCATGCCCTTGGGCAGATCACTTAATCTCTGCCTCAGTTTTTCCATCTGTAAAATGAGGATAATACTGACTTCCTTTGGAACACACTTTGAAATCTACTGATGAAAAGTACTGTTTAGAAGCTAGGTGGTATTATCCCACACAAAACAGATACATCTTGGAGTAGAAACTAGCTCTCCTGACTTGTTTAAACACAACAAAACAAATACAATAATTTTTTTGTAAAGGATGTTTTGAAGAAAGTAGTTGCAGATGTGAATACTGTACACAAACGGATTCCTTGCCTGGTTCCATTTCTCAAGAAGTGCTGAACACTAGTTTTTAAACAACAGCACAAGAACTGAGATAAAGGCAGAGCTCATGCAAAACTGAATTTGGAAATTTCAGCCAAGGAGTGTAAAATATGATTTAGCAGAAGTGATTTCCCCCCACAAGAAGAGAGTGAAGAAACCAGCTGAAATTTGTCATCTAGTCACCCTGTGCTGATGTGAGTTGTTTATCTAGGTAATCATGATAACACTTAGCAGGTAAATAGCACTTTTTATCTGCAGAGCTCAAACATGGGTAAGTATCATTATACAGACCGAAATGGAGGCACAGAGAAGTTAAGCAACTTGCCAGGTGATCAGTACCACAGAAGTGTCCTGGCCCCCAGCACTGTGTAATACTCTTTGGGGGTAGGGACTGTCTTTTATTGGGACACTGTGCTACCATATTACAGATAATCAATTAAGATTATTGTATCTGTAACAACATCTTCAAGTCATGGATTATGGGAACATGTTGCACCTACGCATCCGTGACCTGCTGACTACTTCCTTTTTGTATATACAGGTCATGACTCTGCTCCAAAAACTCCCCATACCAGTGATTGCCCAGGTAAATGGTTTGGCTACGGCAGCAGGCTGCCAGCTGGTGGCGAGCTGTGACATTGCAGTAGCGAGTGAGAAATCCCAGTTTGCTACACCCGGAGTCAACGTTGGGCTGTTCTGCTCCACACCAGCTGTGGCCGTGGGGAGAGCCCTTTCTAAAAAGGTAAGTGGTGTTCAAGAGAGACCTGTTCTCTCTGGGTTCCTGAAAGTAGACCCCGTATTTACGTGCTCTAGCTCTGATCCATGCACCTCCCTCACTCAGCACTTTGTCTTGCAAAACATTCCAAAAGCAACTTTAGAAAAAAAAAAAAAACATTAGTCTGAGGGGGGGCTGGGAAGTCCAAGAATAGTGTAGACGTGACCTGTATTCCAGGACAGCAGCTCTGCTACCTCCCTGATCCCAAGCAGTGGGTCCTCACAGCAACAGCAGATCAGCACAGGAGTTCTACTCCCTTCCACCAGTAAATTCTTTCCTTTAGACAATGATGCTTTCCCCCCCGCTGAGAGACCCCTCCAAGTGCAGGATACCAGTCCTATTAGGTATCCATTCCTGCCAAGCACTGACATTTCAATGCCAGCATGATCTGCTTAGCTCTGTTTTAAATAGCATCTATGACCTTCCTTTATCTCCTCCTCATTTCTTTCCTACTGACTGAGTATGGGCCTCACTCACTGGATAAGGAATACAGTTCACTTCACAAAGCCTTGTTTGAGACGTGCAACCTCAGGTCCCAGTCCTCATACAGTACTGGATCCATCTGGGCAGAAGCTTTTGTCCTCGCTATGTCAGTGGGGCTCTGCCCAAGTGCAAGGGTCCTGCTGTGCAGGTCAGATTTCAGGAAAGGGACCTTAACTGTTAACTTCCTGGCTCTGATGCCATCTTGAAATCTGTTGAGTGAGTTAGAATGGTTTGATACTACAGCTGCTCCTGGATCATCCTTCCAATATTTCTGATTGTACAATTCTGTGTTTAAAAAAATATAATGCCACATATTTTAATCAAAGAATATCAGGGTTGGAAGGGACCTCAGGAGGTCACCTAGTCCACCTGCTCAAAGCAGGACCAATCCCCAATTTTTGCCCCAGAGCCCCTAAATGACCCCCTCAGGGGTTGAACTCACAACCCTGGGTTTAGCAGGCCAATGCTCAAACCCCTGAGCTATCCCTTCCCCCAAATGTACAAGTGCTCCCATATCAGATTAAAAAGCACCATTGTTGCTACTGTTAGGACTTATGGTTTTACATCTTATCAAATGAAATGTGTCCGAGATGCTTGTATTTGTAGCTCCTGCAGCAAAGACAACAACAAGGGTACTTAGACCTCATGATTCCGGATATCAGCTGATTGCCTCTAAGGTCAGCAAGGCATTTTTCTCCCCATATTTAGCCCTGTACAATTAGCCAAGTACATTATGGATTTTTTCCCCTCTCAAATAAAGCATCAGACACAGGTCACTGCAGGAAGCAGACTACAGAAATAGATGTAGCAGTGATCTAACTTGAGCGTCAGGGAGTCTAATTAAAAACCACACAGAAAACTAAAACTAAGGCCAACATTTTCAAAAACTACCCACTGATTTGGCATGCCTTCATTTTTATTCTATTTTATATTTAGTGTGCTCAATTTAAAGCACAAAGGTGGGCCTCTGTTTTAGAAAATGCTGAGCACCCACCCCTCTCCTTGGCTTCAGTTGGAATCATGGGGGTTCAGTACTTCTCGGTATCAGGATCATGTGACTCAGGTTGGCACCTAAAATCTGTGGGCACTTCTGAAAGTGTTGCCCCTGGACTCAACTGTCCTCCCATTGAAGCTCATGAGAATTTTGCTAGCGACTTCAGGGTGAACAAGATTGGGCCTTATGTCTCCATATTAATTGCTGACGTAAACCAAAGCAAGCTGAACTGGCTCAGTAGGATTTATTTTTTCTGTCCAGGTTGCATTAGAGATGCTGTTCACAGGAGAGCCTATTTCTGCCCACAATGCTTTGCTGCATGGACTTCTCAGCAGGGTGGTACCAGAAGACAAGCTGGAAGAGGAGACCATGAAAATTGCACGCAAGATATGTGAAGCCAGCCGGTCTGTTGTGGCACTGGGGAAAGCCACCTTTTACAGACAGATGGCACTGGACCTTGATGCTGCCTACAGAATGACCTCCCAAGTCATGGTGGACAATCTGACCCTGAAGGATGGGCATGAAGGAATAGAGGCCTTTATTCAGAAATGCAAGCCTACCTGGTCACATGACGTGAGCACAGCTTGCAAATGAGCACGCTCAGGCTTAGCTAACTCACACCAGTGTCTTCTCTGTGAAAGTCCCAGGGACTGTATTTTTGGTATTGCTGAAAACGATTTCACTTCTGTATGGTGTAGCTGATGGCCACTGGCAATGATAAGGAAGGAAGGAAGGAGGAAGATAATGGCTAATATTTCAGGTTGTTCTTCAAGGGATGCCAACAATCATATTACAAGGTTTCTGAGGACACAATAAAATGAAGTAAATCAAACCAACCTTGTCAGAAACTCAGACTTGTGTCAGAAGGGCTCAGTTCTATCTGGTGCTGTCGTCAATGTAACATATTCATGGCTACTTGGAACTTCAAGAAACTTTGGGGAAAGAACTTGGATCCTCCTCTTCTGAAAACATAGGCCCCCCTACTCCTTGAGCCAAGTGAGAATCTCCATTAGTTAAGAATCTATAACACAGCTACAGGATTTAGAGTCATCCTGGAGCAGGCAGTTGTATATATACATACACATTATAGTTAATTACAGCATGAATACTGTACAATTATGATAGAGACAGAAGCTTGCTAGAGTCCTTTCCCCTTATTAAAATGTGATTCTGAGCCATAGAAGTCATTAGTCTATTTCCTTCAGTTCATCTTCTAGTGCCTTGTCTGCTCTAGTTTTAAATAAATATCACAGTGATGCAAAGGACACCATTTGAGGTCATAAAATGATAATTTGCCCTAAAGTCCAGTGTCTGTGCAGCTTTTAAATGCAGGTCCAGCATTTTCACACGGCCAAAAAAAGGCCTGCTCTAGATTCATTTAAGTCAATGGGAATTTTGCCATTGATTTCCTTGAGGCCAGGATTGGGCCCAGGATGTTCAGTTTGGACTAAATTGATGTAAATTGGCATAGCACTGGTAAAAGTGACCGGAACTATATTGGTTTACACCAGCTAAGGATCTGGTCTTATGCCATTAAGAAGCAACAATATTGCCCAGCTATTGGACTATATGTCCTTGGTTCAGCATGGAGAGTGCATCTGAGCAATATAGCAAGATGGCTGATGTTAGTCTGGTGGGTCCTGCACTTCTCTTGGCAGGGAGGCAACATGCCACCCTTTGCCCCTGCTCTTGGGTACCAAGGGCCCCACTAGTAGCCTGGGAAGGTGGTAGAGGAGGAAAGCAGGGGAGGGGTCTGGGTTTGCTCCTCACTTTGAGTCCCAGCCCCTCTCAACTCCTGCAGGTTTCTTACCCTCATCCCCCTTCAGTGGGCTTACCCTCAGTCCTTAGACGCTGTAGGGACAGGAGTCCCCATTACTTCAGTATTCAGGTCTTCCAAATCTCTCAACACCTCTCCAAACTCCAGGGGGTGGAGGTTTCCTTCTTCTGTCTGTCTGAAGCAAGGGATTTTATTAGGCTCCTAACAGGGCCTTGATTGACTGCAGGTGCTCCAATTAACCTGCAGCCTCCTTCCCTAGTCTACAGGGAACCACACCTTAATTAGCCTTGAGCTTATATATTTCCCCTCTAGCACTCTCCCATTCTTCCCTGGCCCTTCTGTATCACAGCAAAGATACTTTGTTCCCAACAGTGAAGTTCTATGCTCCTTTGTTTGCTTCCCCAGGTTTTGCATAGTCAATTAATGCAGTTGCTAAATCTCATGGATTTCTTTCTTCCATATGTTGGGATGGAGAATGCTATCCCTTCTCTCCTTTTTTCCCCCCCCATCTGTAAATATTTGGCAATGTTTGCCCCATTTATCACATACATTGATTTGCTAAATTTACTATATTTAGCTCTCCTGTTCCCCTTATAGTTCATTTGTATCAGGAGCATGATTTTCCACACATAATGCATTTTCCTATAGCTATATGTGGTCATTTCTTTTAGGTCTTTCTTTTCTCTTCATTCTTTTGTACACAGTTCAAGCCTGTTGACATGAGGCATTTTGGGGGTTCTTCTAACCTCCCCACCACCACCACCACGTTGTCCACTGAATTCCTAGCATTCTGCAAATATTTGTTCAGAGTTTTCATCTTCCCTGTTTCCTATAACTTTTGCCAAACGCTTAAGTTCAATACCTTCAATCTTAATGCTACAGGCACTTCACCAGCAGCTATCTGCGTTATACACAATAGTGTTGGGATGATGGCACCACATACAATGCATAATGTTAGAGCTTGGATTGCGTCTAGCTTCGTTAAGATTGTTTGTGATGCTGAACTAAATGCTTGGCATTGGTACTCAGTATTTAGTCTTATTAATGTTCTATAATGCATTACCATTGCTTTCTTTTGTGCTTCTCGGGTGGGTCCAGAAATACTTTTAAATAAGTTGAGTTTACCTTTACATTTATCAACATTATTTTCAATGTGATGCTTCCATGTTAGTTTCCTATCAAATGTCACACTCAGGAATTTATAGCTTTTAACTATACCTATTTGCTGTCCATACGGAGACAATTAATCTTTTTAATTTTCTTTTTAAGTGAATATCATTCCTTTCATTTTCAGAATTTAAAATTGAAAGCCCCACATTTCCCCATTCGGCATTTTTCCTATGTGCTTCATTAATTTGTTTCTCACCTATTTCTTGATTTCAGTTTTTAGCTCGTATGGCATGATCATCTGAAAACCAGGATGTGCCTACTCCTGCGCTCATCCTTTTTGGGGAGATTGTTTATGGTTACATTGAGTACGATACAGCTGATAACACTCCTCTGCGGACTGCCATTTGTGACTCTGACCTGCATAGTTCTTTTACTTAAGAAATCCTTTATCCACCTACGTATTTTTTCTTTTGTGCCAATGGATGATATTGTATGCAATAAGCCCTCTCCATAACGTGTCATTTGCTTTTTCAATATCTAGGAAAGCTACTATCATTTACTCTTTTTCCTCAGACTTTCTTGTGCCTCCATCTCTACTCTTACTTTGTGATCAAATGGACTCCTCCCACTCCTGAACCCAGTTTGCACGTTGTCTATAAGTCCTTTTTTTCTAGATATGTTGTTAATTGTTCATTCGTTTTTGCCATGGCTTTATCCATACATGATGTAAGGGCAATTGGCCTGTACATACCAGGTCTTTTTCGCAGCTTTCCATGCTGGGACTGCAATCACATGTTTCATCTCCATTGGTAGCTCACCTGTTCCCCACACACTGTTGTATAGTTTTAGTGGTATTTTCAGACTTCCTTCATCCAGGTGTTTTAGCATTTCATTCCATATACCATCCTTGCCTTGTGCGGAGTTTTTGCTTTTACCGATAGCTTTTTGAAGTTCCCTCATACAGAAGTTTTTGTTTAATATTGTATTCTCGTCTTCCTCCACCTCTTCCCATTCTTGTGATTCTCTTTAATAATTTTTCCCCATCACACAGATTTCTATATCTGATTTTCATCATTACTAACATTGTGGAATATTTCTGCTAGGGCTTCTGCTTTTTTCTTCATTCGAGCTTTTTATCCCTTGGCCTTCTACAATGAGGCCTGGTACAGAATTGCCCTTACTCCAGATTCTATTTATTTTCCTAATCTTTATTTATTTTCCTGCCATACTCTCTCCAGCTTTCTTCCCCACCCCCTTTTTAATAGCCCTTTTCACAATTGCCTTTCTTTTATATTTCATTAAATCCTCACCATTCATTGTATTTTTTGCTTTCTTATATGCCTTGTTCCTTTCTTTAGTTGTTTTTTTACATTCCTTATTCCACCATGGTACATGGTTTCTACTTTTAGGGTGACTTAATAACTTAAGTATTGCTAACTTTGCTGCCATTATAATTCCCTTAGGTATATTGCTATTAAACTCTTCAGTGTTATCACTTATACATTGTTCATTAATATTTTTGTTACATTTGCTCTCACTTTGATTTTTTTCATATTCCAAATGGGGGCCTTCCTCCATCCTCAACATTGCCTTGATAAACTATAAATACTGGAAAGTGATCTCTTCCCATTCCCTCCTTTTTATCGACTTCCCGGATGCATTTGCTCGCTATACTACTTGACACAATTCCAAGGTCTAGACATGAGAGATTTCCATTGGCTGCATTAAACCTAGTGGTATCATTCAGTATTACTAAATTATTTTCATCAATGAATTGATCTAGACATTTACCATTCTTATCATTTTTTCCACTTCCTTGCCATCTGTTATGGCTGTTTAGGTCTCCACATATAATTATATGGGCCTGTGGCATCTTCAACTGTCTCTGTCAAATCCTTAAATCTCCAGTTTTCCACAGGGGTTGTATACATTATATAGTCTCAAAGATGCAGATTTATTCTGCTTTGGAATCTTGATAACATTATACTCTATATTAAGTTTCTTCAACTCAATTTCACAATAATTTAGGTTTCCTTAGTGAATGTACAAACTCCCCCTCCCCTCCCAACTTCTCTTTCTTGCCTATAGATGCCATAACCTAGTATTCTAAAATCTAGTTTTCCCTATGAACTGTGTTTCGTGTATACAAATTATATCAGATTTAGTATCTTTAAGAAGGATATTTTTCTTTAGTTCCTGTCCATGTGCTATTAGGTCAGTGGTTCTCAACTTATTACACATTGTGAGCCCGACCCCAGACCCTTGCTGCATGGGGCCAGCCAGCTGCCCGACCCCACTGCGCAGCTGCCCCAGACTCTGGAACTCACATGGCCAGCCGGCAGCCCTGGACCCTGCCACACGTAATGGGCTGGTTGTCCAGGCCCCGGACCCCCGCCATGCAGGACTGGCCAGCTGACCCAGACCCCCACCGCATGGCTGCCCCGGAGTTTGCGGTGCCGGGTGGCTGCCTTGGACCCCACCATGCGGGGTGGGCCAGCTGCCCTGGACCCCGGCCAGCTGCTCCGACACCAGCCCCCCGCCTCGGGACAGTCCTGATATTCGGGACTTTGTCTTACCTAGGTTCCTATTACTCCCCACCCTCTGTCCTGATTTTTCACACTTGCTATCTGGTCACCCTACCCCCGCCACACGGCTGCCCCTGACCTCACGGGGCCAGCCGGCAGCCCTGACCCCAGAGTCCCACCATGCAGGGCAGGCCGGCTGCCCTGACCCCGGCAGGCAGCCCTGACCTCTCTGCACCAGGCTTCCGGGAACCTGGCGACCCCGGTAGGTTGGCAGCCTTTACCACACAGCTGAGCTGGGCTGCAGCTGTGTGCTAATTGGACCGTGGGTTGAGAACCGCTTCTATTAGACAGTAAACAGTAAATACTTAGTACCATTCTATTTACACTTCAGTGTTTCCTTCACTGAAAGCATGGAGTTGTTCTACTGATAAGTTGCTAAAATGTAGGTACTTTCCTGCTGCTTTAACCATAATTTTCATTTTCTGTTTTTTTATCCCTGCCTGCGATGCGCAGTTTATTGCTTACATCATAAAAGGTATAAAACTGTTTGTCCATACACAGTATGTCTTCTCCTTTCCCCCTGTAGCACTCATTATACCCTTTGATTTATTATGTTGTGTACTTCTCTCTTTTTACTGGGTCTCCTTTCCTCTTCCCCTTTTGGTCTTCAATGTCTCCTAGTAGCTTCTGCATTGTTTCTGTACCTCTCTTGCTTGGCTGCTATACACTTCCCGTAGGTTGCACTGTGCTTTCCTCCATAGT